TCGACGGGAATAAAATTATACTACTATATTGTTCCCGGCGGAGGACTGGGTGGAGGAGTCTACGGGGAGAAGGGGTTTATGTCCTGTCCAAGAGCGACATAGAGAGTGCGACGAACTTTCGTCCTACCGCAGTAGTACTCTCGTTTCAGTATGCATTTCCGATTCAGCCCATGCTACCGTTCAGACTTCAGCCGAGACAGATTTGCGAAGAACAGGACGATGTGATCTGGGCCCAATACAGGGAGCTCGGCACCTTCATGCGCCTTGGTTTCGGGCCTTCAGCTGAGGGACCATTGGGAATACACTTCCTGACAAGGGGATCCTCAGTAAAGAGGGACCTATATCTACTGGCTTTTGCGGGGAGCAAACGGCAGCTTGCAGAACTACAGCTTCGGTTGTGGAGGTTGAGGGTTCTCGCAGGTTTGAAAAAATTTCTGCCTCAAGAGACTTTGGTTCTAGTTAGTTCATAGTTCAGGGCTTCAGTTCTGGATTTCGCCTTGTTGCCAGAAACCCTGACTGCTTTGGGCTTATAGTTGGTTTAGGGATTGGGGCATTACAGGATCCTACCATCACAAAAGGGCTAACCAACGTATGACAACGCAAAGATCCCCTGCATGCTTCAGGCACTGTAGACCCCTGTTTCTGGAACTTCGTGTCTTCAAGGGGCTTAACTTTCGGATCCGTACTATGAACACCTTAAGGACTGGGGGTGATAAACGGTGCGGGGTCTGCAGTGGTGGCTAGGGAGCCTGCCTGCTTTATGGATGTATTTATAGATGTATAGTAGTATTATCTCCCTCGAACCCGGGGTTTAGGGTTTAGGGTTTAGGGTTTAAAAGGCATAGGATTTAGGGTTTAAGTTTAGGGTTTAGCGTTTAGGGTGACTCTATCGTCCAGGTATGATTGTACTACAGTCATTACAACAAACCCCCAAACCGCCCAATTTAGGGTCCGTCAGTGTCCAGACTCTCACGGACAGCTTTGCTTTTACAAAGCTGTACCTCAAAAAGCGCACCCGAAATCATGCCCCCAAACCCCCAAACCCCCAAAACCCTGAAACCCTAAACCCTAAAACCCTAAACCCCAAAACCCCAAAAACCTGAAACCCCAAAGCCCTCATCCCTAACCTTGAAGCCCCTAGAAGCCCGAAGTCCGACACCTACGTGATACCCCACTCCTGCCAAATCCCGATAATCATACTATGCAATCCTACAGGGTTTAGGGTGGTTTAGGGTTTAGGGCCTAGGGTTTAGGCTTGTTCAGGGTCCTATAAAGAAGGAGGAAAGGGGGGTGCATTAAAAAAGAAGGATTACCTCCGAGGTATCGCGGCTTCTCTATTCAGCAGATGGTGTCCCAGTGTTTCAGTCGCTGCTGGGCTGCTGATGAGCCGAAGCCGCCAAGGGCCTTTGGAATGTTTGGGGTTTAGGGGTTTAGGGCTTTAGGGCTTTAGGGATTAGGGTTTAGCGTTTAGGGTTTAGGGGTTTATGATTTAGGGTTTTCGGGGATGTTTATAGCCATTCTTGTAGAAGATTCCGCAAGGATTCTGGAAAGGTTCTTTAGTTGCAGCTTTGGTGCTTTAGGGTTTGCGTGCCTTAGGGTTTGGACGCTCCAGGATTTCGGGACTGTAGGGTGTAGGTGTTTCAGGGTGTGGGTGCTTTAGGGCACCGGGGATGTTCCCCCTGAACCCTTAAAAGAAAACCTAAACCCTAAACCC